AATGGTTTTCATGAGGTGCTTTACCACATCAGTTTCACAAAGTGAATACTTTGTTCCCATGCAAAAGACAAAGTCCCATGGAATCTGAGACATTAACAACCTTTATAGCTTGAGTCTTCATAAACAGCCTACTTTATCAGCTGGAAGAAATGGAAAGAGAGAGATTGTTGCAATTCCAGGAGCACAAAGGGCTAGTTTTCTAAAACCGTCCCCTGTGGATGTCAGTTTAACAGATATCTAGTTTAAACTGGAACTTCTATTCTTATACCCTTGGGTTTAATTATGATTTCTCACCGTACCGTGATGTCTAATTTGCAGTAGACACGAATGTACTCTTCCCAATGGTGACTACAAATACTGGAGTTACCTGCCAGAGAATTTTCATGAATAAGATTCATAATACCAAAAGTAACCATGACTTTAGAACTGGCCAAGATCTGATTGCGCGAAGCACTTTAGAATTTAATACCATGAAGAGGTTGCTAGTGAAGCTACTGTGCAGCCCAACCATGCTGTTGGGGGGAAAAACAATGATATGGGCATTTCTGCTGTAGAAATAAGGCCCAAGTAGTTCTGACATGATGCTATAGTGAGATGTGCTTCAGAGACACTTTCCTACTTTTGCATAGATCAGCCAGTGCCATGTCATCCTTTGTTTATAATTTGTTTAAGAAGCAAATTGACAAATCTGAGTTTAATCTGCACACTAATCTACATTACATGACCTCCCGCACAGAAAACCAACATATTGGCCTTCAATCACAAGTCATAAAGCTGAAGGAATATGGGTTTGTGCCAGAGACAGACTCATAATGTCAGCACAACTAAAGTCTGAACACTTACGCCAGATGTAAAACTAGGGTGTGAAAAAGTAATAATGAAATACAGTAATTCAAAAGTAGTAATGTAGGTTCACTGGAGCAGGAATATGGGATAGGCATTCATGGTCTCATAGTGCAACTGAGAGGTAAAATCTATGTTATGCACAGCCATATGCATCTTTCATCAACAATTAATTTAATGCAGTAAAAAGGTAAAGTTCCCCTTGACAATTTTTGTCCAGTCGTGTTCGACTCTAGGGGGCGGTGCTCATCCCCATTTCCAAGCCATAGAGCCAGTGTTTGTCCGAAGACAATCTTCCGTGGTCACATGGCCAGTGCGACTTAGACACGGAACACAGTTACCTTTCCACCAAGGTGATCCCTATTTATCTACTTGCATCAGCATGCTTTCGAACTGCTAGGATGGCAGGAGCTGGGACAAAGTGACAGGAGCTCACTCCGTCGCATGGATTCGATCTTACGACTGCTGGTCTTCTGACCCTGCAGCACAGGCTTCTGCGGTTTAGCCCGCAGCGCCACCACGTCCCTTTTAATTTAATGCAGTAATAAAGGAAATTGCAGGTTTCAATAGAAGAATCAAAAGGGAGGGGTTACTTGACCTTCTAGCTATTTTCCATTCAAACTGCTCCCCCAGTTTTTCATCCTGGAAAGTCTCTTTAAAGGAAGACAAACACTTAGGAGAAAAGATACATATGTTACTTTGGCCCTGACTCAAGGGAAGCGAACCAAAGGAATGTATTTAACTGTCATATATCTAATTTTGTCCAGTCCTGCTCAACACAGCGTTACAATTTTTGTACACTATTTTGATGCAAGACTATATAAAATAAATGACACATTGCACACTCAGAAAATTAGATACCGTATTTGCCGGTGCACAAGGCGACCGGCCATATAAGACAACCCTCCCAACAGGAGGAGGAGGAGGAGGGGAAACGGGTGAGTGGCAGGCAAGCGAGCGAGCGCGGGATTGCAGCGAGAGGGCAAGGAAGAGCGGAAGAGGGTGAGGGGGCGGCGGGAGGAGGAGGAGGAGGAAGAGGAAAAGGGAAACGGCCGGGTGGCGGGGGAGCGAGCCCAAGCCGGACCACCTTTTTGCAGAGGCCTCTCTTTTATTCGCCCCCCCCACGCGCACTCCTCCGGCGGGTGAGCCCCAGGCGCGGCCCCCATACCCCCCCGGAGGAAGCCTCTCCCGGGGGGATCGGGCGGCCGCACAGCTGCTTCATCACCTCCGCCAGCATCTGGTTGCAGAGGGCGGAGTAAGGGTTCATCCGGACCAGCAGTTGGCGGGCGAAGGGCTACCGAAGCGGGCCACTTGTTCGAAGTCCCTCCTGGCCTCCTCTTCCCAACCTCTCAGCCACTGGATCAGGCCGCGCTGCACGAACCCTTGGCGGACCACCGGGCCGCTCTCCTAGCAGTCGCTTTCCCGGGAGACGGGGGGTTCAGAGGAAGCCGGGAGGTCCAGCAGTGCTGTGCGGGTGTAGCTCCGGGACCTGGGCAGAGCTGTCTCAGTGGCAGTTGTCTCAGCGGCTGTTTCAGCGGCGGGGGGCGGCGGGCAGCTCAGGCATGGCAGGCTGTGCTTCTCTCCCTCCATCCAGACCGACTGCCTGCCTGCCTGCCGGCCGCCTGCCTTCCTCCCCGGCCAGCGCAGCCCTGCATCATTCAGTGCACCCGTATTGCATCCTGGTGGCACCTCATATGCCAGAGTATAAAATCATATTGAAACTTCAGTATTCTTTCGCTTGAGAAATGTTGAAACTTACTAGTTAAGCATATGCTGGCTAGCTCAGTGGTTGAAGTATCTGACTACAGGGCCAGAGGTTCAATTCCCCACTGTGGCTCTTGTGAGTAATGCCAGACTGTATGGCATTGGGCAAGCTGCACAGTCCCAGGGCACCCCCCAGGAAAAAGGAAGGCAAAACCACTTCTGAGTATTCTCTACTGTAATTAGAAAACCTTGTTGCTTAGTATAGTAAACCACCTTAGAGTAGGCCTATTCAATCAATGGAGGATTTAGTGAGTCATTTGCTCCATTTGTTTCATTGATTCAGATGGACCTATTCTAACTGTGACTTACTTCAGCATAGTAAGTGCAGTTAGAGCAGGCTCATTTGAATCAACAGAACTTATGGAAGAGCTGACTCATTAAATTGACACTGATTTAATGGGCTCACTCTAGTGCAATTTACAACATTAAGCATTGGATTTTGGCCTTTACATTCAAAGCTCCAGGTAAGATTTCAACTTACAAACAATGTTTATTGTTTGTTTTTACTTCCCATGCAGAGGATGCTGATCACACGCTCTTTACTACAGGTAGCTTTGTCTATACGACCTGAGTTTATGACACTGTTACCATGTTGACGTTGGAAATTAATAATTCTGCCTGCCTTAAAGTGAAAGAAAGGCAAGCAATTCTGCTAAACAACTTTCAAATCTCTTTCTATCCCTTTAGCCTTCCTGTGTTTATAATAACTCAGTATTTAGCTTTTCATTTAAAAATATGGCTTTCACAATATTGAAGAAGTACATGTTCCTTAAGCAACTTCATTGTTACAAGTTTTAAATGTTTATTTAATTTTTATTTCATTTGTGCTCTCAAGCAAGGATAGGATTCCATCATACATGCATATCAACTGCTATGACCCTTCAATCAATGCATTCAATCACTGTATGGAAGTATGTCAAATTGTGACCTCTGGCTATATACAATTATGTACAACCATATGCATGACAAGCACCCTGTGCCCAAGCTTTCATTGTCAGGAAGGACCATATGTGCATAGAGTCCATTCTCATCCTCCTCTCAGTGTAATGAGAGGTTCACAGAGATTGAATGTATGCAAAGTGTGCTGCTTATATACCATCCCATAGTGCTTAAAGCATTCTCTGGGTCCTTTACAATTGTTATGTAGGCTATACATCCCGCTGTCCCAGCGAGCTGGGTACTCAGTTTACTGACCTCAGAAGGATGGAAAGCTGAGTCAACCTTGAGCCAGCTACCTGAGCCTAAGAACAAACTGCAGGAGTGACTGCAGCATAAGAAGGCATTATAGCTTATTATTACAATGTATGTATTAAATGCTATGTTTTGCAGAAGCAGCTACCTCTGAAATGTCTGCATAAATGCTCTTCATTGCAGCTGTCCACAGCTCCTGCCATTCCTCTTCTCTGATAGTAGCTTTGTAGCACAGTAAGGTTGCCTGCAACTTTTATTGTTTGGCTGACAATTATGCCTACTGTCAATGCAGTGGTATAGACACTGTATATTGCTCTGGATTATTTCATAGCATTGGTAAGTAAAAATAACCATCCACTGCCTACAAATTAAAATACAAGATCTGCTGGATCAGACCAAAGACCCATCTAGTTCATCCTTCTATTCTCACTGCATGGAATTCTGTTGCGACCAAACATCTATGAAATGGCCTACATATCAGATGTGAGCATGATAGGGCCCTCATGCTTGTATTCCCCAGCAACTGATATTGAGAGGTATAGTGCCATCATCATCTTGACTGATAGTGCCTGACAGTCAAGTCTTCCATGGCATACTTAAGTTTAAATCTTGTCATAAAGTATCAGCTAGAAGGAACATCTACATAGTTCATAAGTGTCCTCTACATACAAAAACAAAGATATATCAGCCATGACTTTCTTTGGGTCATTATCCCAAAGAGTTTTTTTAAAATTACATTTACTGAAAATGTGAAATGTTCCTTATTTGTTCATTTAGTATTTAACAGGCAGGCCTCTAAGCCCTGTAGCAATGAAAGTTACCAAGAAGGCTGCCTCATGTCATACTGGTTTCCTTCAATGGAAACTTATGTATCATAGTGGTTTAGGTATCTGGCTGTGAAGCCAGAAGATGAGAGTTTGATTTCCCATTATGTCTCCTTGATAGAAGCTGGACACAGTGATCCATAAGCTCTTTTCCAGCTCTGCAATCCTAAGGTAAGTACTACTATGCTATTATTCTTACTATTATTTTTATTAACAAATAAGTTCAAATACAGATGATTTTCATCAAATTTTAAAGAACTGCTAAAGAAGGAAAACATGAACCTCTTTTCACTTAGTTCGTCTCCCACACACACACATGCCAAATACAGTGACATCAAGAGGCATTCTACAAATTGCTACACAATTGAAACCAGTTACCGGAAAGTCACAGCTTGCATGAATTCATCTAGAAGGTCATCATAAGCTTGGCCTCTGACTCGCTTATGTCTAAGCCCAATATACAAAGGATCTTTTAGCAACTCCTGTTTAAAAAGAAAGAAAGAAAGCAGAAGACAGAGTTAGGTCAACATGTTGAATAAGTTACCATTTTGCTCACTTGAATCCAAATGCTAACTGTGTACATTTATCTGTTCTGGAGATTTGTGCTAGTTTAAGCTGAAAAGCAGGGAAACAGCAGTGAAGAAGGCGGATCACCATGATACCATACTTTAGAGCCACACTGAAAGGAATCCTCAACTTTGGATCTTGGATCTCTAAGTGAAAATTGACAGTGTGTACATCAAACTACAGTTCCGACTATCCTTGTGGGAAGGCTTGGCAGGTCAACTAGAATAAAAGTAATATATGTATGTGGTGTAGATAGGCCTGGAGAATAAGAATTGATGATAATTTTAAGCATAAAAAGGATGTGATATACATAAATATATTTATTGGTTTATAAAGATAAAAGCAGTGAAAAAGTTTTGTACAGATCCCTTTCTATTATTCCTAATTGAACATGTAGAATATGAATATACAAAGACATAAAGTTAAATCTCATAGAACAAAAACCATTTTTAATCCTAGTGTAGAAGAAATAAATCAAGATGCAATTACAGAGTAAATATTACATTCTTTTTTTAACGTAAGTGTTGGCTTTGAATTTCAGATGTCAAATCATAGCTTATAATTTAAAAATCCAAATACACACAGTACTCATTGCCAAAACAATTTTAAAAGCACAACTCTACGCACATAAAAATGTAATGAGCTTTCTGTTTCAGAATGCTCAAAGAAAAGCATGCAGCATACATACAAGGCTTGTCTCTTCTTCCTGAGTAAGCCTAAACTTTCACTACTGCTGAGATCTCAGTCTAGGAATAGGAGTTCCAACGGGGATCTCTGGGCTTATCAATATAGGATTCCCCTGTGGAATATCATCTGGGGAAGTAGCCTTTGGTTGTGTTTCAAGTGTCCTTATTTCTGTCAGAATCATACTCTTATTCCTCTTGAGAGGAAATGTCATTGGGGGTAAGGTCTGACACTTTTGATGATTTCTTGATAGCCTGTATTATTTACCCTCCTGAGCCCCCGGCTTGGGTCCCAAAGTTCCTAGCATAAGCCAGAGGATACTTCTGCTCATAGGCATGATTGTACATTTTCTACATAATTTATGGATTCTGATTCATATATGAACCACTACTCAGAGTTCTCAAGGTCTAACTCCCTTTTTGTAAAAATGGGAAGTACATTATATGAAAATAGTTTTTTCACATTATGATTGTTTATCGAACAAGGAAAATACAGTTGTTCACACTATGGTTGCTCTATCAAACAACAATCTTGGTCTGGACAATTATACAGTGAAGCATACGCTTCATAATGTCATTTTTCATTAGCTAAACTACTGTCAAGCAGTATTAAAATAAATATTGCAAAACACTTCACAACCACACTATACATACTGACATTTTCTAGAAAATTAGCCTACAAAACTGGTTACATTATAAGCTCATAAAATTGAGACTTGCCATGAATAAACCAACATTTAAGTATGCAGATTAACTGCAGATACTACCTTCTGCTATCATATTATTGAAGAATCTAAGACAGAAGATCTTTTTAAATATCAACCTAACCGGACAGTCACTGAACACATAGGTCTTGTTCACACATAATGCCAAAAACGGTTTTGCATTAGATAAATATGGTTTAGACCTCCACACTTCTCTTTCCCTATTCTTTTCCCTCATGCACATAGAAAGAAACTTCTGCTCTCAGTTTGCAGCAAACCACAGTTTGCTTTTTTTTTCATCCAACAATATTATGGTTTGGACACACCACAATATGCCCATAAATCTGAACACTGTTTGCAGATCTGATTGGTGAGGAAGCTATGGTCCCTGCGCAAACTAAACAGAGCAAATTATGGTTGTAAACTGGAAGTTTCATATTTCACCTTCCTGAATGTTGCCAACACCAATGGCAGAAGTCAGGATGATCTACAGGATGTCATCTTGTGCCCCCTGTCATTCACACTTATTGAAAAACAGCCCTGACAATTGCTTTGTGTTTGGGTGAGAAGTGGTTAACTCCCCCCCCCCCAAAAAAAAGCTCCTGGGATTTTCACTTCTGTGGTGTCACTTTGTGAATGGAAGTTTAAATATATATACACTATACAGTACATAAATTCCAACAGAAACCTCACTCATGTAGAATCGCCCAGTGCTAGAGAAGCCCAGAAAATGAGCACGTTATCTGTATTATGGTTGCTGGGAGAGGACTGAAGCTGGGGTGTGGCTGTAGTTCCTCTGTGTCAAAATATTTTCAATGGCTGTTCAGACTTAATGAAATGGGAAAGTAAAGATGTGAATTAAGTGCAATATATACAGTGAAGAAACATAAACGCTCTTTAATCTCTCAAGGAAACGAATGTTTCCATGCCCACTCTGCAGAATCCAGACTAGAAAGCTATCTTCCAATTTCCAAACCTTCTCCTTGAGATAGGCAAGCTGAAGGAAAAAAATGTGTATCAAACCAAAAGCTCTACAAATATGCTTTGCACATGTTTTCCAAAATATGTCCTCTTGCCTTTTGAAATTAAATAAACAAAGAGCTGGGAGCTAGTAAAGATAGTAGTAAAGACTTTGCAAACCAGTAAAAATCATCCATACAATGTGAAAGACAGTGAAGAAAGAAAAGGACAAAGATTAACTCTGGAAATGTGGTGTTGGAGGAGATATCACAGTTTTACTTTTAACAAAAGCATAATTCGAAAACCGTTTGCTCAAACTTCCAGAACAATAGCAGACTGCTACACCTGTGCAAAATCTGGCACTGATCTGAAATCCAGTTTTAAATTTGTTGGGTTTTTTTGTTTCAGCTGTCCTCCTTTTTTAGAATTGCCATGTTGATTTGCACTGCTGAACAATAATATAGCTGCACCACCATGTTGCTATAACAGATCCACAAATCTGTTCTCTTGACTTGCATTTCAGTCTAATCTTTTGGATAAAAGGAAGACCACTTTCAAATCTGGGAGCCAAACAGGATAGAAAGATAGGAAGATAGAAATGCATTAACTCTGACACACTAAATGAGAAAAGTCTCCCCAAAATGACTTCATGGTGGGAAGGTGAGTTTTTGTTTGAGGAGGAATGTGTGCATCTGCAAGACTGATTTTGTGGAATTCCACAAAACGTAATGATAAATGTTCAATTTTTCTTGTATGGATTTTTTTAAAAGTGGAAGCATCAAATGGGTTGCTTAGATTTTTATAGCAATCAATTTGTTATTTTGTGCCTGTTATATGTGCATGGTTAGGAAAATATGTTAGGGAATTTTGTGCCAAGTGAACAAACTGCACACACAAAAATCAAAAGTATTTCATGCCTCACTGAAAGTGAGATCTCTGCCTAGGACCCGAGAATTCTTTAAAAAGCTGTCTTGCTATGTTAAGGCAGTTGTCTCAACCCTAAACAAAACACTGGTGAGATTTTTTTTTTCTCATTCCTAGCAAGCTAAATCGAGAAGTCCTTCCACAGACTAGACTCTATCCCTACTCAACTCATGCAATTATATACACAGTCCAACTCAGATTCAGTTTTTAAAACCATGGTTAGTTAGACTCATATATGTATATCAGAAAGCTGCTCATAGCCATTCACTGGAGCTCTGCACCAATAGATCACGCAGTACATAAACCTATCCCCCCAAACACTTATTGTTGTGTCTTATTTTTTTAAGGTATCAAGATTACTGTTTTATTTTATGAAACATTTAAGCCACTACAGTCTGCACTATTACCAAAAAGTGACACATAAAGATGAGGAAAACCTCCATACATGTGCATTCTTCTTCAGTTATACATTCAAAAAGAACATAACATAACATTAAATACTACACATATTCCTAAGCAGTATCATATTTTCTTCTGCTTAGTGTTTTTTTTACAAACCCATCATTCTTCAAAAAACAACAACAACAATGAGAATATTACTTATACATTTGTTGCAGGATTTATTATGGCTAACATAGCATTTTATAACAGAAGATACCACAATATTAAGCAAATCCCTCTCTTGTGTGCTCATGTGTAAACATGCACATCACAAACTTTAGCTGCTAATAATCCCTATTTGAAATTTAAAGGAAGATAAAATAAATCGCTGGTAAAATCAGTGCTAGGTAAATGAGAAATAAACATGCTTGTTACAGTTATTAATACTTGGGCTGATGTGCTGAGGCCGAAGCCATTTTTAAAACACAATCCTCATTTCAGAATACAAAAATTGTTCCAAACCCACATTCTAAAAACAGTCTTTATAATAGTAGGATAAAACCAGCTGGAGCTGGCAAGCTGCTAAACTTGCTTTCTGTGAATATCATGAAAAATTATCCATTTCTTTGTTCTCAAATAGCACAGTGGTCAACTTTCCAGACACAGGCCTTTCCTCTTCTGCATCATGCTGAGAATTCACTACAAGATTACTATTACTGTATTTTGAAACATATTATCTGGTGGAAGTAGGGTCAGTCCTCCCTTCAGCCCTAACACAATTATTAGCCAACATCACAAGAACCGGAGGAATAGAATTCCTTGTCTCAACTTTCCTACTTAAAAGTATGTAGCACAGAAACATGTTTACTTCTGTATAGCTTTAGGTGGCTCATGCTTCATATTTTTTTCCACCACCTAATTTTTGTACGCCACACTTGCCTTCTGATTTCCAAGAAAATACTAAATCTTGCACTGACTGGGTTCTAGTATGTTATTTAGCGCTGTGTCTTGATAAAATATCAAGTCAAAGAAAGTGTAGGGAATACCTAGAATTATTTACATTTTTTTATGTTTTCCTAACGATTATTTCTCCTTCTAATTCATACTGTTTAAATACAAGCCATCATTTTCTCAGCTACATCTAAGCATGTTGCATACTTCTTTGGGATTTAAATTTTTGTACATTACCACATGGCTACACAGAAACTGATGGCCTAAAACAAGGGTCTCCACACTATGGCCTGCCTTGCCCTTTTATCCGGC